CTCTAGCGTAGCTGGCTTTTTATATATATTATTTATCAAATTTAGAATAATAACACCAAGATTTGAATTTAACAATCTATTCATACTATTATAACTCGATCATTAAATGATCTAATAATTTTCATGAATCATTCTTAAAGTAATAAAATTATATAATTAACAACTAACTAATATTTTAGCATTAGCATAGTAAATGGAATTCTATTTAATAAATCACATAGAGAGAAATCACCTAAATACCAAGATAAGTTCATACCAAAATTTTCATAATTAAACAAACTACATTAAAACTCTTAAATCATACATACAACTCTAACATCCAATAAAACCTATACACATTCTTTTACCTTAATTCACAATTCAATCAATTAAAAACTTCTATTTATTATTCTTATAGTCACTTATCATCATCAACTCATACAAAACATTAAACCATATTAAAACCCTATTCTACGCATATGACCCTAATTCATCATAACTTCAATCTACCATCAATATACTAATCAAACACAATTCAGTACAAGAATTTAGATAATACACAATTTATGCTATAGACAAGGGTTTTCATAGAATTCATTGACACTTAAAGAATAACACAACTTACAAATTATCTCTTCTTATCTTGAGTTTTTATAACATTGTGTGATCTAAATGTGATATTTAGAGTTATGTCTATGATATCAACTTGATATTAATTTTATTATAAAGATAAGGTAATTATCTACAACTTCTATGTTGACTTAAAGAGTTGATTTTACCATCTACTATTTTTAAAAATTGCAAAACTATTGTATTATAGTCTAATTCTGACATTTGACCTTTGTTCACTAATTTAATCATAACTTAATTTTTAGACCTTTTTTTAAGGTGATTCTAGTGCCATTGGAAATCTATTATCCAAAGCTACAACTCTTATAAATAACACAAAACTTAATTAGGTCACCTAAGGGTCCTCGCAAAGCTTATAGGTTTCAAACGTAACTTTTCACACCTAGAACATGAGACTCATCATGCAACTCACATAACTCATTGAGTTTTTAACATTTTTTATGTGATTCTTGAGTATAAACTATAGTCCCAAATGTTTAGTTTCTAACTCAACAAATGGAATTCTATTTAATAAATCACATAGAGAGAAATCACCTAAATACCAAGATAAGTTCATACCAAAATTTTCATAATTAAACAAACTACATTAAAACTCTTAAATCATACATACAACTCTAACATCCAATAAAACCTATACACATTCTTTTACCTTAATTCACAATTCAATCAATTAAAAACTTCTATTTATTATTCTTATAGTCACTTATCATCATCAACTCATACAAAACATTAAACCATATTAAAACCCTATTCTACGCATATGACCCTAATTCATCATAACTTCAATCTACCATCAATATACTAATCAAACACAATTCAGTACAAGAATTTAGATAATACACAATGGATCAATAACTAATTCATTTATAAGCAGTCACATAGATTAATTAAATCCATCAACTTACGAGACTTAGGGGTCGTCTCTCTACCTTTATCCATCATATATGTCCAAAGATTTGACAATCTCATTCCCCATTACCTAGAGTGATGATATAACAAAACAACACGCTACCTATAGCTTTGACCGCTAATATGTGCTTCCTTCGATGATCTCCTCTAGGTTCCTTCCTTTGAGTACTCTAGGTTTTTCAGAATACGCGTAATAACTTAATCTCCTCTATTTTATTTCATTTTAATAAGCCTTTGGGTTAGATCCAAAGTCCAACCCAATTGTAACAGCCCATTTTTTTGCTGGGCCTTAGGCCCAATTCGTGCCCGGAACGGGCCGTTTCAAAAGTGAAACGGGCTTAAACCGGACCGGAACTAGAGTAGAACCTCCTCTATCTTCCTCCTCCTTTCTCTCCTTAGGCAGAACCTCCTCTACTGGATTCTTCTTCTTCTCTCTCCCCTTTTCCTTCCCCTCCTCTCTCTCTTTCTCCCTTTCTCTCTCTTCTTTCTCTCTCTCTAGGACCTCTTCTCCAAGTTATGAATTTCCAAATACCCTAGGGCCCTATTTATAGGCATTCTGATGCACCCGGAACGGCCCGTACTGAATTCGGAACGGCCCGTTCCGGAACCTTCGAATCTGTGCAAATTTTTGAACTGGAACGGCCCGTTCTAAAACCAGAACGGCCTGTTCCAAAACCCAGCAGAGCGACCCGTTCTCCTTCCGGAACGGCCCGTTCTGCAAGGAGAACGCCCCGTTCTTCAAGCAGAACGGCCCGTTCTCCTTTGGAGAACAGCCCGTTCCAGACCCGTTCCGAAACTTAAAATTTAGCCACTTTCTTTATTTCGGAACGGCCCGTTTCACTTTTGAAACGGCCCGTTCCGGGCACGAATTGGGCCTAAGGCCCAGCAAAAAAATGGGCTGTTACAAT